CAGCCGCTCGCCCTGACGGCCGGCCCCTCTCCCTCGCCGGCAGGAGGTGACGCACTACCTGGTGAAGTGGTGCTCCCTGCCCTACGAGGAGAGCACCTGGGAGCTGGAAGAAGACGTTGACCCTGGAAAAATCAAAGAGTTCGAGTCCTTGCAGATCCCCCCAGAGATCAAACAAGTGGTGAGGGGCTCCTCTGAGCCTGGCCCACGGCCCCGCTGTCCTGAGCCCGGCCCCTTCCCAGTGCCCCCGGGCCCTGACCCACGGCCCCGCTGTCCTGAGCCCGGCCCCTTCCCAGTGCCCCCGGGCCCTGACCCACGGCCCCGCTGTCCTGAGCCCGACCCCTTCCCAGTGCCCCCTGGGCCCTGACCCACGGCCCTGCTGTCCTGAGCCCGACCCCTTCCCAGTGTCCCTGCTGGCCCTCGACCCTGACCCTCGTCTGTGGCCACAGCTCACTAAGGCTGCCCTGTTCCTCTCCATGTGCCAAGCTCTCTGCTCTCCCTCCTAGGAGCGCCCTGCTTCCGAGGCCTGGCAGAAACTAGAGAAGTCGCGGGAGTATAAGAATAACAACCAGCTCCGGGAGTACCAGCTGGAGGGGATGAACTGGCTGGGGTTTAACTGGTACAACAGGTGAGCCCTGAGCACGGCTGGCGTTGCACACGCCGTGGCCTTGGGGGAGGCGGGCCGTGGGCGGGCAAGGCTGCGTCCTGCAGCCGGTGCCTGGGGAATCCTGCGCCAACACACTGGCAGTTCTGCGCACGGGATTGTAAAATGCTGCACGTTCAATTGTGTGGCCACTGAGTCCTGGCCGCCGGCCAGCGCGTCTGTCACAGAGCCGGGCAGGAAATGCTCTTTGGCAAATGGAGTTCCTGGGGGCGACAGGGAGGGGCCACCAGGGTGGTCGGGTGTGGGGCAGGGATTTGGGATGGGGAGGGATTGCTAGGGAGCCGCCCTCGGGCAGGGATTGTAAAATGCTGCACGTTCAATTGTGTGGCCACTGAGTCCTGGCCGCCGGCCAGCGCGTCTGTCACAGAGCCGGGCAGGAAATGCTCTTTGGCAAATGGAGTTCCTGGGGGCGACAGGGAGGGGCCACCAGGGTGGTCGGGTGTGGGGCAGGGATTTGGGATGGGGAGGGATTGCTAGGGAGCCGCCCTCGGGCAGACCCTGGCTGATCCCTAACCTCTCTCATTCAGCCAGGCACATCAGCTCCTCCTGCCTCCCCTCTCCCCCTCCGGCGTATCTCTGCACCCCCATGCAGCCACCACCTTCCCCGGCCCTATGTGGCCCTACCTCACCACTCCCATCGGCCCCTGGCTTGGTGTTTCTGAACCCCAGCCTGTGTGGCCCCCGCATGTCTCATTCTGGCTGCTCCCTCCTTAACTGGCCCCATGGCAGGGAGCTGAGGAAGGCTCTGCATGGGCGCCGTGGGGAGGAATTCCCCACAAGTAGTGGGCCCCCCACGCTCACGGGCTCCCCCATGGTCTGGGGGGACGTCAGAGCTTCGGTCTGTGACGTTCCCTTTCTCATTGTCTAATACCCATGAAGTTGGCTCCTCCGCGATGGCTGATGTGGGCGCTGGGTGCTGGGGCGTTCCTGGGGCAGGGCGGGTCGCAGAATGAGGGCTTTGCTGGGCGTCCCTTGGGCAGTTGGCTGGCTGGTGCTCGCCTCAGGGGGCAGCCGTGTGCCGTCTTGTGCACCCACGAGGCCCAACGCGCTGGAGCAAATGGCCATTGGCAAGCACAACTGCCTGATTTGTATGTGCACATCACTTGCGTGATTATTCGCCCACTGGACTGGCTTGGGCCTGTCATTCGTAGCTATTTGGGTGGCTGGCCCTGGACCCCAGGCCCTGAGCTCCGCCTCCAAGCGCCCTGGGAGACAGGTGCTCTCTGCGGTGCTCCCGGGCGCCGAGAGGCGGCATGAGCTGCCCGAGGTGGAAGGTGGGTTCCCCAGGGTGCTGCGGGCTGTCCCACACGCTGTGCTGCGTCCGCAGGAAGAACTGCATCCTGGCGGACGAGATGGGCTTGGGGAAGACAATCCAGTCGATCACCTTCCTCTCGGAGATCTTCCTGATGGGCATTCGCGGCCCCTTCCTCATCATCGCGCCGCTCTCCACCATCACCAACTGGGAGCGCGAGTTCCGCACCTGGACGGCGATGAACGCCATCGTCTACCACGGCAGCCAGATCAGCAGGCAGATGATCCAGCAGTACGAGATGGTGTACAGGGACCTGCAGGTGCCTGCCCCCGGGCCTGGTCGTCCTCTGGGCCCCGCGTCCTGGCCACTGCTGCCGTGGCTCCC